TTTACTATGTAGTAGCTTGACAAAAACTGGATTAAGTTTGAACCCCTTGTTTCAAGACTCTTGTTGAAATGAACTCCATTGAATTGCACTAGAATGCAGCATAACTCCAATGTTGATGGTCGAGGTAAATGAGAGACAGGAAAATGAGGAAAAGCTTACAATCACTCTTCTATACAAATTCTGGATAAAAATGAAGAATGTTTAGAAAAATAGTTTATTCAAGAACCCTTGCGTACTTCTATGTTAAATTATTTATTTAGTTATTCATTTTCAGTGCATAAAAATGTCCAATGGAGTATCAGGCCTGGCTATGTGGACAGATGGTTATATTCCATAGCATAGGCTAGTGAAAAAGTCACATATTTCTGCTTTGATCTGTTACCTGGAGAGGTTATTTATTAAAACTAATTAACTTGCCTTAGAGAAGCAAATGCATTTATACTGTACATGGAATCTATTTTATGCATCAGCACATTCAAGTGTTAGCTGGTCATACTCTATACATGAAAACTGTTATCCAAAAAGACACCTTTAGGATGCAATAGTACAAATGGTATCGTTCAGTACTGCAGAGAAGCAACTATGTAGTGCGTAACATCTAACTCTGATTTAAATTTTACAGATCTAATTATGAATTATGTGTGTAGCTTTTTAAACAGCAAATCCCAAGTGCTGCTTTATTAGGTATTTATTAAAAATGAAAAGTGTAATCAGTGAATGCAATACAGCAAATACTGCAGTATAATAAATGTTCAGGTTGAAATAAGGCTGGCTTTTCTGGGTTTAGGACAAAGCTGGTTTGAAAAGCAAATTATTTTATAACTAAATATATATGTTTCAGGTGGATCAGGAACATGCAGTGTCAATATATGTATAAAACTTCCATCCACAAAGATCATAGCCCACCAGATGTCAGTGTAACACAAGGCATCTGTATGCCCAAGCATAACCTATAAGGAAACATAGTATTCTTTTGCCACAGGATTCAGTTCCAATATTACGTTCATGTACTATGAACAATTATCAAAAGGTCTGGCTTCAATGTATGAATTCGATTGGCATGCTTTATCATATAAAGTTTATGTTTAACGGTTATAAAAATGTAGCCAATATGTCTTAGAATCTGACTACAGGTATTGCTGCAGTATTCTTACACTTTGTCAGTATGTTTTTCTCCTATTTCTCTTATTTTCCATTTAACAATGGCATTTTTGGGGATTTTTCTACAGTATTATCCATCCATCTGGCAGTCTGTTTACCTTTTTCTAATTATCTGTTTCTGCAGATATCAGTCTGTTTGTCCAGGCAGTGTAGGTAGCTGAAGACATTCGTATATACTGGTATTCTCACAAAATGAAATGTTGTTATAAAACAGGCATTATCATACCCACTTTTGAAGGGTTTTTTTTTTACCTTCTGTAAGTATGTTATTTTATCTGCTATTTAATGTGCTGTTTCTGGTCCTATTGTACTATTGTATACTGTATTCCCAATGGTACAAAATTTCTGGGTAGCGTAGATATTAGTTACCACTGGTGTCAGGCTGTATGTTCGAGTTGAACGTTACCTTCTGTAAGTATGTTATTTTATCTGCTATTTAATGTGCTGTTTCTGGTCCTATTGTACTATTGTATACTGTATTCCCAATGGTACAAAATGTCTGGGTAGCGTAGATATAATTAGTTACCACTGGTGTCAGGCTGTATGTTCGAGTTGAACGTTAGTTCAACTTGAACATCAGCCATTCGTGTGTTCGGCGAACACATGAACAATAAGGGCATTAGTCAGGTTATTCACCCACCGTGCTCCACAATGCACTGCTCCCTGACAGTGCATTGTGATTGGCTAAAGCAATGCACCTGACCCCAATGATTTGGTCAATCACAACGCTTGATGACGTCACAAGGGGTGGGGTGACCCCATCCCCTTGTGGCATCATCACAGCATTTAAGATCTGTCATGCTAGAGCAGCTGTCAGACTGAGGGAGAAAGCACCAAGAGTGGAGAATTTGTTTTTCGGGTCGCAGTGGCGGCGGGCATCAAGATTGACATTGGCTCTACTTCGGGGGGACATTTTTTAAATTTTTGTTTTTTTTAATAAAGGACTTGTCAAAGACTGTCTACTAACAATGATTGGCACTGCTAGTGTTCTGTTTTAGACAGTTACATAAGAAAAGGAGAAGAAGTAACATGAGTGTGATGAGCTTAAAGTGGTTCTAAAGCCAAAGCGCTTTAAAGCCTTAAAGTGGTTGTAAACCTCAGAGATGAAATTTGAACAAAGCATATCCCTCTATAGTTTGTGCTTGTCTCAACCCAGAGCACTAAGTGTCATTTCTGTCTGTTGCTTCATTCCTCAGTTATCAGCATAAGTCACTTCTGATTAGATTTTTTTACACCAAGAGAAAAATGGTGATAGGGAGGGCACAGCCTGTGATTGAAAGCTTCAGTTCTATTCCTGTGTGCTGTGTGAAGAGGGGTGTGTCCCTTCCCTCCAATCAGCTCTCAGAGCTCTCCAAAGTGATGTAACTTCAGCTCCCCGCCCCCTGCTTTTCAGAACTGAGAGATCCTGTGTAAATTCTGCACTTTGAATGGATGTAGGTGACAGATGGCTGCAGATAAACAGGTACAACTGATGCAGGAGGATTTGTTTCCTCTCTGTGTATCACCTGAGGCCAGTCACTTCACTAAGTATATGTAAGGGTTTATAATCATTTTAATGCCTTCCCTGTATTAAGGTAAAAAATTTTTTTATAGCTTTCTGTCCTCCTCCCCCTCCCTACATATTTACTTGAGTCCTCAATCGATCCAGCACTGTGCACGGCTACATCTCTTCTTCTCTCCTCTCTTCCTCTTCACAAAAGGACTCCAATGCTGTGACGAGGAGGAAGCTGGGGGCAGGACCAAGCCACACTGTGTGTGTTTATGAGATCTGTTTCATAGACACACACAGCTCAGGAGTGAGCACACAGATAAGAGGAGGGGCCAAGATTGCCAGTGTTGGAATCCAGAAGAGGAGGTTCACAGAACTTGCCAACTGTCAAAACAGGGGATTGGGGGGAGCGGGGCGCCAGTCCTTTCATACCATGTTACATGTAGTGATGAGCTGCATGTTCGAGTTGAATGTAAGTGCATTGTGATTGACCAAAGCATTGCACCTGACTACGGGTCAAGTGCAATGCTTTGGCCAACCACAGGGCATGATGACGTCATAAGGGGCCACAAATGTGCAAGCTGTACTACATTGCAGCAGACTCAGTGCTTGGGTCAGGTTTAACCTTCTATTTTAGTACTTCAACCAGCCTGAAAACCATCTGCCATCTTCATGGATAGTCATGCAAACTCCTATCAATGTTGTCCTAATCCATCCGCCTCACTATACATAGAAGCCACCGCTGTATTAGTCGCCCTGACCTCATAGGGAGCTGGTCCCAAGAGCTAAAAACTCTACTGTGGCCAAGAGTAAAATCTGCATTAGTCTAAAGAAATTGCTTACCTTACCAGAACCTGTGTAAGTGTATATGGAACCTAGAATACTTCGCTAGAAAAAGGGCCAAGCTGAGTTCCAGTCCTCAGTTGTTTAGTAGAACATAGTTTTTTTTTATCAAGATGATTATTATATAGTGTCACCCCTACTCCAGTGACCACAAGCAGCGCATACTTTCCATAATATTATCATTAACATTCATATATTGTGTCATTCTTTGTCTTCACCATTACTGCCGTAACAAAAAATACAGACATAAAACTTAGAATTATAAAGTGACTATGACACAGAATTGTGACATTCCATATCCCATAAAAATATATCTTATAAAAAAATCAAAAAAGTCCAGTGATATAAAGAAAACCAAAAGTCCAGTGTTGAAGAAAATATATACGTGTTGAAAATCTGTGCTGCGCCCACCATGCACCCCCACTCAGATGTGCACTCCCTAGAAACAAACTTTTTTTTAAAGCATAATCAAGAGGAGATCCATGACCAGGAGGTTCCTCCAAGAATCACCCTTGTAAGAATGGTTGCCAGGATCATAGCAAAAAACTCCACTCCACCATGACATGGAAAGAGAAAAAAATATCCGCTCCAATCATATATTACCCAGCGTAAACAACTTTATTCATCCAAGTATTGCACTTACAACAATAAAAACTTCAACAAGCCCAAAAAAATCACTCCTATTGTCACGTAGAAACCGCATGGTGCTCTCACCGCCTCCGGAACTGTTGGACAAAACGCCATCACGTCACTTTTGGTCACAGATCTGCGTCACTTCTAGCCTGCTGCACCATCACGCATGGCGCGTTTCGTCATATCCTGACTTACTCATAGGGGTGACGGTGTGGTGCGGCTTATCGCTTATATCAGGAGACATTGATTGGATCACCAGAATGATAATTGTGTTTAACCACCTCTCGCCCACCATATAGTCCAATGACGGGTGCAAGGTGGTTCTCTCGTTCTGGGAGGACGTCATATGACGTCCTCCCATTCTCACCGCGCATGCGTGGCTCAGGGAGCGCGCAGCGTGGTGATTGGCGGTGCGCTGTGTCCCTCAGACACAGCGGATCACTGATCTACGGAAAGAGCCGCAGATGTCGGCTCGGTCATGTGATCAGCTGTGTCCAATCACAGCTGATCACATGTAAACAGGGAAATGCCAGTTATCGGCATTTCTCTCCTCTCGAGCTGTCACACTGATAGCTTGAGAGGAGAGGAGAGCCAGTAATCGGCATTCTGTGGAGGGGACATGTACACTGATCATCAGGGCACTGATGATCAGTGTGGCCCCAGAAGTGCCACCTGTCAGTATCCATCAGTGCCAGCTGTCAGTGCTGAACAGTGCCACGTGCCAGTTCCCATCAGTGCCACATCAATGCCACATATCAGTGCCTACCAGTGCACATCAATGCCACATATCAGTGCCCATTTGAGCTGCCTTACAGTGTCACCCATCAGTGCCAGTCAGTGCCACCTATCAATGCCAATCAGTGCCACCTATCAGTGCTGTCAATCAGTGCCACTTATCAGTGCCAGTCAGTGCTGCCTATCAGTGTGCATCAGTGCTGCCTATCAGTGTCAGTCAGTGCCACCTATTAGTGCCAGTCAGTGCCAGTCAATCCCGCCTATCAGTTCCAGTCAGTGCCATATATCAGTGCCAGTCAGTGCTGCCTTTCAGTGCCCATCAGTGATGCCTGTCAATGCCCATCAGTGCCACCTACCAGTGCCTCCTCATCAGTGTCCATCAGTGCAGCCTATCAGTGCCCATCACTGCAGCCTCACTAGCACACATCAGTGAAGGAGAAAAATCATGAATGGTTCACAAAATATGGTGAAATTGGTCCCATAGGAATAAATGGAGGAATCGTGATAGTTTTCACAATATGACCATTTGTTTGCAACTCACGCCGCCCATTGACATTCATTGAAACTCCACTCTAGACACCTCAAATTTGAAGGCCAATTTCTAAACTGCGACTGTGCCTTCATTTTTAATATTTACTCAAGCCACTCCACCCAGTTACTCCGCCCACTCCAGTTGTAGACTACTGGTGGAGGCAAGAACACTTCACACAATTTCCCCAGAAATTATAGCTTTTCTAGTTACTTCACTACTGTCTCACAGGAAATGATACTAATTACTGGCAACCATCAAGCTCCATACATATATAACAACAGGGCAAACAATACCGACCAATCACACTACATATACTGCAGCAGGGCGGCACCGCTGCACAAAATCACGTATATATATGTGATTTTGCATATCGGATAGGGGGTGTACGTGAGGCACGCGACCGCCCTACCCGCGGCGCCGATCGTGACCGCAGGTGTCACTCACAGAGCACAGCTGTATTGTTTTCTCCCTGTCAGTTCCCAGCACACTGGAGAGCAGAGCTTAGCTTTCCAGGACAGCATGCAACAGTGATTGTCTCCAGAAGTTTACCCCTTCCTCCCCAGTGCCATTAGTACAGTGTCAGTGTTTTTTTTTTTTTGCACTGATAACTGTATTGGTGGCACTGGGGATGTCAGTGACCCCAAGTCAGTTCCCCCCCAGTGTCAGAATTACCGACGCAGTTCCGCCATAAGTCGCTGATCTCCGCTATTACTAGTATATAAAAAAAAATCCCAGTATCTATACCTCCATCTGTAAATGCTGTAACTTTCATGTAAACCAATTCTTGTAAATATGTTGGGATTTTACCATATTTTTCGCACCATAAGACGCACTTTTTTCCCCCCAAAAAAGGGGGGAAAATGTCAGTGCGTCTTATGGAGCGAATATGGAGCGGCCGGTCCGGTATTTCCACTGCCGCCGTGTCAGAATACCGGGCCGGCCGCTCAGCTCTACAGCGGGACCTTATAGAGATGACTGCTGACCTTTGGGGAGGGGGGGGGAGCGGGTACCTGAATTTGACAGATACCCGCTCCCACTTCCGTGGAGTTGTTCTTTCATCTTACCTGTTCCTCTATCCAGCGGCGCGGTCTTCCCGGCTTCTGTAGTGTGGGCATGACAGTCGGGTGCCAAGTGCGCATGTGCAGGAAGCGGTGCTTTTTGTAATGAATGGTAAGGCGGCACCTGGGACACATGACAGATCCCAGAAGCCGCCGGACCAATCACAAAGCGCAAGTGCTTCTCGCTCATGCGCACTGGGCACCCGGCTGTCATGCCGAGCGCCATTACAGAAGCTGGGAAGACAGCGCGCGGCTGGATAGAGGAACAGGTAAGATGAAAGAACAACTCCGCGGAAGTGGGAGCGGGTACCTGTCAAATTCAGGTACCCGCTCCCCCCCCTTAAAGGTCAGCAGTCATCTGTACTGTCCGCAGTCTCTGGTCATCCCTGTACTGTCCGCAGTCTCTGGTCATCCCTGTGCTGTCCGCAGTCTCTGGTCATCCCTGTGCTGTCCGCAGTCTCTGGTCATCCCTGTGCTGTGTCCGCAGTCTCTGGTCATCCCTGTGCTGTCCGCAGTCTCTGGTCATCCCTGTGCTGTCCGCAGTCTCTGGTCATCCCTGTGCTGTGTCCGCAGTCTCTGGTCATCCCTGTGCTGTCCGCAGTCTCTGGTCATCCCTGTGCTGTCCGCAGTCTCTGGTCATCCCTGTGCTGTCCGCAGTCTCTGGTCATCCCGTGCTGTGTCCGCAGTCTCTGGTCATCCCTGTGCTGTCCGCAGTCTCTGGTCATCCCTGTGCTGTGTCATCCCTGCTGTGTCCGCAGTCTCTGGTCATCCCTGTGCTGTGTCCGCAGTCTCTGGTCATCCCTGTGCTGTGTCCGCAGTCTCTGGTCATCCCTGTGCTGTGTCCGCAGTCTCTGGTCATCCCTGTGCTGTGTCCGCAGTCTCTGGTCATCCCTGTACTGTGTCCGCAGTCTCTGGTCATCCCTGTACTGTGTCCGCAGTCTCTGGTCATCCCCTGTACTGTGTCCGCAGTCTCTGGTCATCTCCTGTACTATGTCTGCAGTCCATTAGTTCAGAATTTTTTTTTCCTGTTTTCTGCCTCTAAAACCTAGGTGGTCTTATGGTCAGGTGCGTCTTATGGAGAGAAAAATACGGTATTTAGCAAAGACAAGTCGTAGAATACATTTCGGTCTTTTTTTATAGTGCAAAAAATTAAAAATGCACAGGCGATCAAATTCCACCAAAGCTCAATTTGTGAGGAAAAAAGGATGTAAATTTCATTTGTGTAGCATGACCGCGCAATTGTCAGTTAAAATAATGCAACACAAACCACTTCTGTAACCATTACCTGACCGCCCTATAGCAGAAATACTGCTACAGGGTGGCATGGGTGTGAAAAATCAACGTGATTATATATACATGATTTGCATTCCCGTGGTTTTTACACCCCTCCCAGATGGTGTCAGATTGCCCGTACACCAGTAATACTTATTTTTATTTTTATTTAATTTTAATTTTTATTTTTTAATTTTATTTTTTATTTTCTTTTTTCTTTTCTTTTCTTTTTTTTTTTTATTCTTTTTTTTTATTATTCTTTTATTTTTATTTTTTTATTTAATTTTTCTTTTCTTTTTTCTTTTTCTTTTATTTTAATTTTAATTTTATTTGTATTTTTATTTTAATTTCATTTCATTTTATTTTTTTATTTTTATTTTTTATTTTTATTTGATTTTTATTTATTTTTTTATTTCTATTTTTATTTTATTTTCTTTTCTTTTTATTTTATTTTTTTATTTTATTTTTAATTTTAATTTAATTTATTTTTTTTATTTTTTATTTTAATTTTATTTTAATTTTATTTTTATTTTAATTTTATTTTTAATTTTATTTTTATTTTATTTTATTTTTTATTTTTATTTTATTTTAATTTTAATTTTATTTTTTATTTTAATTTTTTTTTTAAATTTTTTTTTTTTTTTATTTTATTTTAATTTTTATTTTTTTAGACGCGTCAGAGCATGATGGTGCAGCAGGCTAGAAGACGCAGATCTGTGACCGGAAGTGACGTGATGGCGTTCTGTCCAACAATTCCGGAGGCGGTGAGAGCACCATGCGGTTTCTGCATAACAATAGGAGTGATTTTTTTGGCTTGTTGAAGTTTTTATTGTTGTAAGTGTAATACTTGGATGAATAAAGTTGTTTACGCTGGTAATATAGGATTGGAGCGGATATTTTTCTTCTCTTTCCATGTCTTGGTGGAGTGGAGTTTTTTGCTATGATCCTGGCAACCATTCTTACAAGGGTGATTCTTGATATAGCACTGACCCGCATCACATTATAAACTATTTACTATTTACTAGGCTGCATATGAATATTGAGAGACAAAACAGTTTTTACTGTGAAAGAAAGATATGCTATTCAATCTCTGCCCATGAAATGATGGGCAGGGAAATGCTGGTAAAACGTGTGGCAGAAGGATGGGTGAGACCAAAACACACACATACACAAATATACCTTTATGGCTGCGGAGGTTTCCATACTGACTCTGCATGCTCCCAGCACAGTGTCTACACTCCTGATCTCTATTTAAAATCTGGAACTGTCGGGATTGACTCTGGATCATGTGACCACTGTGACAGCCAATCATAGTTTGAGCACAGGTATATCTAGCCAATCACAGTAGTCACATGATCAGGAGTCAGTCTTGTTCCCCCCCTGCCTTAAGACTCGGCTAAAAACTCATAGGCATATGTGGATGGAGAGCAAGGGGTTAAATAACACATTTTGTATAGAGGTATATATATACCAAAGGATGGGATTTATTTCCAAACTGGGAACAGTCCTTCGAAATGAAGGACAGATGGGAGCTATGGCTTAGCTAATAACTCGAAAAATCGGTCGTTCAATCTGCCGACGTTACCACCATTGGTAAAAAAAAGTCGGCTGATTTTCGTCCCATCTACGGCCAGCAAATATAACAGCGGTGTAGAGAGCTCCGCTATTATATTTGACATTTAAAAGTATAGCAAAGTTGCATCATTGTATCTATTTGTATCCATTTTGGATACAGATGTTTCTATTCAGATACAAATAGATACAATGTTGCAACCGCAATACTTTTAAATGTCAAATATAATAGCGGACTGAAAAATCTTATTCATATTCTATTTCTTCTTTTGCTTCTTATTATTCATATTCTATTTTTCTTCTTATTCATATTCTATTTCTTCTGTTTCCTCTTTTCCTTCTTCTTGCAGGTCAAAATCAGTAAAAAGATCGGCCGATTTGTCCATCATTGCCATGAAAATCGGCCGAACAACAAAATCAGCCTGATTTTTTTCCAACATGACCGACAAAAAAAGTGTCAAAATCACAAAAACAGCTGCCTGATTACCCCACTAACGATCCGAAAATCGGCCGATTTTTTTTTTGTCCAAAAAATCAGCCAATTTTCGACCCATCTATGGCCTGCGTTACTGTACTTTGTGCTTATGTCCACTCCTTAACCATTGTGGTGATTGGTTTGTGTAAGTTGTACAGTTACAGAATGAAAAGGTAGGAACAAAATCCTTTTTATTTTAATTATGTTTGACCTTTTCAGTCGTTATACACATGAAATGACCAGTTGCTACATACAATAACAAACATGTAACCTTTCCAGCATATTTATGGGCAAAGGCACAAGTATGAAGAATGATTTACTCACAGCATGGAGGTTTTTTTTTAATACCATGCCTGTATATGTTGATTTACTTTGAGAAATATCTCCAAATATTTAAACATTCCTAAAAATAAAAGCTGTGAATAATTTGCTAGCACAAGCATGACTACAACAGCATACAATCCACTTTAATCTGAAAAAAAGGATCCTAAACTCATCATAAACATTCATTTGAACTTTCTGTACTATTAAATAAAATATTAAGGCTAGTCATATT